GTAAGGCACCAGAAGGTGCAGGCAAGGTGACTGACTATGGGGCTCGGAGCAAAAAGCAAAGAAGGAGAAAAAGGAAACAAGGGAATCTCATCAGGCGGCACACGTTCAATGCAACACAACGATTGCCTCAGATATCCTAGATTAGACTACAATAAGGTAGACGGCAGAAGACCAGATAAATCCGACAAGGAGATTGTGGTCACCAATCAGTCGGGATACCAAGGGAATGCTACTCTTCCGTACATATGCACTGAAGACCCCTAGTGTCTGCATACTTCTTCACGTAGGGGACATTAAGACACACACACACACACATATTTACTTAGATCCTGGCATCATTGTACCATGTAGTGCTGTTGGCTTATCTACGGAGGGGTTTGAACTCTTCGGGGTAAAAGAGGTCATGTGTGTATGCATATTCTTAGGTAAGATGATCATACTGATCGATTAATTATTGCACATCACTCATGAATAATCGGTAGAACAATTATCACGACACTCATCTAGTAATACTAACTAACTAACTGCCTATCTATCCACACAAAAGTCCAGAATGGCACACGGGTGTGTGCGGCTATTGCAGGCTTAGAGTGGTCCCGTGCCCTACTGATTATTAGTGATTATTGTTGGTTGTTTAGGTTTTCTTTGCTCTTGTCTTTTAAAAATTTTTTCTTTTTTTTTCTTTCGCAGACCCTGATGGGGCCACACTATGAATTTTTATATGCGAATCCTGAACGGGAAATGCAAACCCACATCCACTTCCCAACCAGCCATGGACAGGCTTCTAGAATAAGAATCAGGACTACTGTGCTAGGGCGCAGGACCACACACGCTGATTGCTCAGGAGCGCCTTATTCTTAGTTGGAAAAGCAACCACGGTCCCATCCCACCGGCGCCAAGTTGCCAATCATTCCTCTCGGCGGGTCTGTTCTATCCACGCTTTGCTCCATGGCGTTGTGGTTACTCCGTGGTAGCCGCGAGTCAAACAGCCCCTCTGACCACCGGCACCTGGACCGACCTTTTCTAGCAATAATATCGATCCATCCGCGGAGGACAGCCTCCCGTAGTCGGTTTCAACGGAAATGATTTTCTCGCGTAATCCTCGACTGTCATATTGGGCCATAAACGCTATCACTCACCAACCAGGATTGGGGTGGTTCAGTAGTGTGTGTGTGTGTGTGTGTGTGTGTGTATGTATGTATGCACCTTGCACTGGCTTAATGGCTGCAAGTGGTCGTTGTGTCTGTCGGTCTTCCTTGTTCATTGTAGGTTGCAGTAGTTTCAGGCGCGAGGGGACGATCCACGGCTTGACCCCTCTTTTGTACCGCGTTGTGTTTGTAGGGAGGACCCCTGAGGATCAAACTCCGACAGCCATGAATAGATAGAGAGGGTGTACGTACTAGTAGTTGTGTGGTTTCCCCTCATCATGGTCAGGGATAGACGCTGGACCAGCTGCAAGATATATTAAGATTAACATACGGTAGAACGAGTCAAGTGGCAGGCAGCTGCCATCATCGATGAGTGAACGAGGCCGCGGAGGAGGAACCCAGCTCGTGCGTATGCGGACCTGGTCAGTGCGGAACTTATCAGAGGAATTAGTAGAATTAGTAGAATAAATTCAAGTATGTTTTAATGCAAGCAGCACCTCGGAGGCCGATCGTCGCAAAATCTTTGGTGGGGAAGACCAAGCAGCGCCAACCCAGTCGGTCCAAGTCAGTCAGCCACGGACGCCGATTTTCTGCTCGCTTCGTCAGTCCAGCACTCGACTATCCATCTTCTCCCTTTCACTCCTGCTTCGTGCATCACTTTCATCATCTCCATCATCATCCCTGTCCGCTTATATATCTAGCGGTCCTTCCCCCTCTTTCCGATCACCACCACCTCCACCAACTACTACATAACTCCGAACCTCCGCCATAACCCACCCAAACCCACCGCCCGCTTCGGTTCCCAACAGACTCAGGAACGCGCCAAAGACCTGCTCCGGCTTCTCACAAAGGTCTTTCTTACATCACCATACCCCCTTCCATCTGCCCCCCTGTATGGACTGCGGGACGACTGGCACGGCTGCGGGCATCGACCCCAAGATTCTAGATAACTGGCAATCGGATACTTTTCCGATCTATTCCGCTTACGACCAACCGCTGGAGTGGGATGCGAGCCAGGACTCGAGTCCAGGCGATGCGGATGTCGTAGATCTGAGCAACCTTCGTGGTCCGCTGTCGCGGGACCAATCCACCGTCCCGGTGGTAGGTCATGCTGGCGATTATCGAGGTAGTGAGAGCAGGTGCGACTCGTCTCCATCTTCCCTAACCTTGGAGCTTCCCGCTGACAGGTAACCCCTTCCCCGTGCAGCAGCAAACATGGTGCCACTTCCCCCGGAAAGTTCAGCATCAACGACGGTCCTATCGAAGGCACCGTGAGTGGTACGATCAGCCCCAGGACGCTGCCCTCTTCCGCCGACGACAATTTCCAGCTGGATGAGTCATGGCCGCCATTCCAGCTATTCAACGCCATGACGGCTGGTCTTCCTATGGAGGCTCCTCTCATGTACCCGTACGCTAAGGAGCCTGCCTCCACCAACACGGTTATTGTAGAGGATACCGGAGAGTTGCCGCAGGGACAGGGCTTGTCCGATCTTCCTCCCGATCCGTTCCTCTCCTTCCAGAATATTCCCCAGGCATTCCCCTTCTCGACCGCTGAGACTTGGACGGCACCGACTGCGCCCGCTCCCACGGACAACCTGCCTAATCAGACCCCGGTATCTCTGTCGATGGGTCTGCAATCAACTGCCAAACGTCCAGGACACATCCGCGACTACCAGGGTTCGATGCGATCACTGGATTCTCGCTGGCTTGAAGGTCTGGAGTCTCAGCTGTCTTCCAACATGACATCGCCTGCATCCTTGTCGATCCCCCAGGACGCGACATTCTTCAAGGAGGAGAGAATTCAGAATGACGGCTTGCAATACAAATCGGAGAGTTCTTCGGTTTCTGGAGATTTTCCCAGCGTCTACGAACCGTACCCCGCTAGCAACGATGAGATCCCCGCTTTTGCCGATCGCCAACTCGAAGACAATGGACTCTGGAAAGATACACAGAAGGAGAGCACTTCTTCGGAGACATCTCAACCCCTACAAAATGCGACCGCCTTCATGGTCAGTGAAGATCCATCGGAGGCCTACTTCACGCCGGTCTCTGCAAGACCCAGAGCCTCGTCATCTGCGCAGAGGGCGCCCGCTCGGCCACAAGCTCTTGCACTTCAGACAGTGGCCACGGTCAGAAAGCGCAAGCAACGTAACTCAAGCGTGCATCTGGACCAGAACCTGCCCAAGCCTTTGCAGATCGTGCAGGAAGACGGCCAAGGAGGATCTATTGCTTCAGCAGATTTCATATCACCACCTCGGGGAGCGCGCCGCAAGGGCCCTCTGAGCATGGTCGGCAGGGCCAATGCTGGTCTGCGGCGAAAGAACAAGGACACCTGTGTCCAGTGTCGACTGAACAAGCGCAAGGTATGCACTCAGCCGATCTAATTCTAGATTTGCGTCTAACGAAATTGACAAAGTGTGATGGCAACGCCCCGTGCGATGCTTGCCGCCCTACGCTCCACGAGCAGCCATGCGCACGTGCCTGCTTTGCCAACATCGTCGAGTACGGTACATGTAACTATGTTTGTATGTTGCGATCTCTACATCACTAGTATTGGTCCTTGTTGCTAACGGACACCAGCTCAACGAGCCATCAACCATCCCACCACAGATGGTGCTAGACGCATCCGGATGGACATTCCTTCTGAGTTCGACCTCAATGATCTGATCACATTCCTCGGTGAGCGACAAGGTCGATTCAACATCCGTGCCAAGCAATCCTGGGGATCCCTCTATGTCCTTGACCTTGGGGAGACCTACAAGTTCCTCCGCGGACTTAGCGAGTACAATGGCAACTCCAAGTCCAACTTTCTCGACTTCATTGATCGGCGCATTGTCGAGTCGAAGGACAAGTCCAAGAACTGGCTCACATGCGTGAAAGACTGCGACCCGATGAACAATGTTTATGTAAGTGATCATTGATGTCTGCTTAATGCGAACCATTACTGACTTTGACTAGTCTTTACTCTCGCAATGGAACAACATGCCTAGCCGTGCTAGCTACAGCTTCGTTCCTCTTCAAGCCGGAGGCCAGGAGAGAACCATGGACATCAACAACCCTGAGGACCGTCGCGAAATTCTCCTTGCAGCACAGTTGTCTCGCATCATCTGCCGCATGCTCGAGGTGGAGGGATTCCGAAAGCTGGAGCGCGATTTCTACAACATCAAGTGGAAGCAGATCTCTCAAGAAACCCACCTGCGTTTCCTGAGCGAGCTCGGCCATATCCTGCTTACCCTCCGCTGGCGAGTCTCCTGGTGGCGGCGTCTCGGTGACGGCGGTCGCGAACCCGACCCCAGTAAGCAACATTACGTGGATCGGGTTGACTTACTCTGCCGGATTCTCTACGTCTACTACACCTGCGTTCTGGCCAAGCTGCCTTCCTGGTGCGCCGCCGATGTTCCCAAGGGCATCTGGAACACATATGCCGATGCCGAGAATGCCGTGTGGGATGACTTCCCAGTCGACCCTACCGACGAGGGATTCCAGAGGTGGATTGATCGCGGCCAAGAGCTGGTCGAGCAGTCCGGTGCCCCGACCTGTGTTGCGAAGCTAGGCAAGAACGCCTAGACGAGTCGACCTGGAGAAAACAACTCAAAAAAGACGGCGGATGGTATGATACTGAATTTGAGATACCCTTTGAAGCGATATAACTTTTGTCTCGTCTCCTCTACTTTTGCGTTATTATGAGTGATGATCCGTGTTAAATTCTCGTGGATATAATTATTATTTGGGCTGTGTATATGTCATTTCTCATACATAGTTTTAGATTTCATTTCATTTCGGTTCTATTTCAAATATAGACATGCAAAAACTTTGCAATAATGTGTAAAAGGGTATCGTATGTTCATTAATCATATACTGAACAGAATGAAGTAATAGTAACAGCAATAGCGACAATATCCACCCCCCACAAACCTCCTTCCCTCTATTTAATCACAGAATCCAAAAAATTATACCCTCCCTTCTCTATTTCTTCACATTCCCCTTAGTATCCTTCTTCTTATCCTTCTTTCCTCCCGCCAACAATTCCAAATGTCCCGCCTTCTCTGCAAGATTCTTCTCCGTCCGGGCCACCAATCCCGCCGTGAGTTTCTAAACACATATCCCCATGATTAGCATTACTGAAACACACACACATGCCAACTACCAAGAATAAATAACCGGAGGAGAAAAGTAAAAAAAATAAAATACCTTAGTCAACTTCTGTTGCTTAACCAACGTCGTCTTCTTAGGTGCGATTTGTCTCGGTCCGCGCTTGGGGCCGAGGGCTGAGGGACTGCACATTATTTCTCACAGAGGTTAGCTTGATAGTTTTTTTTAATCTTCTTTCTTCTAGCACCGTATGTGAGAGTCCACCAAAGTCCCCCCTTTCCCTCCCAAATATCAAGAATAGATAGGATAGACAATTGGATGAATGGATGGATGGATCGGTAGGTAAGTAGGTATTTTGACGTACCGCTTCACAAGATTCCCACTGTTGCCCGCGGGCTTCTTCTTGAGGGATCCTTGGACCATGGTTGCAATTTTATATTATATCTTTTTTTTATCCCCTTGAGTGAATGATATATTGAAGGAGAATAGGAGTAGCTGCCTGCAGCGATGGTTGTTGTATGTACGTATGTGAGGTGTGGTCGCAGTTCGGGGTCGGAGAAAAGAAAATTGCTTATCGGGAGGGCGGGCGGAGTTGTGGTTGCTGCTGGGGGGGGTGGGTAAGGTTGCTTATCGATATATCACGTGACTCAAACTAGCTTACTATGGACGGGAGTGCATAGTTGATAGTTAAGTAAGCTAAGCTTTGGGGATAAATTTTTATGTGTATGTAATATCTTTGGAGATTATGTGTGTGTGTGTGTGTGTGAAATTATGTTGATAGCGTTATGATCTGCATGTGCATGTGCATGTTGGATTGTTGGATCTTGTTTTGTCATCTGTTGGTATGGGAAAGGGGGGGCGCATGGGATGGGGTCGGATTCTTTGCAAGTTTCAGTCTGAGATGCGGATGCGGTGTAAGCCGTTGGTATGGATACATATGTAACAAAGAATTAATAGGGCGGAGATTTAGATTAGCTTGAAGATGAAGGGATGGAAGGGGAAATTGGCATCTTAGATTATCAGTCATTTGTCAGGATCGAAGGGTCCATTTAGATGAGACACTAGCGGGAGATCATTTACTATGTAGACTATCTATCCTACCTTTCTATGTGGAATGCCTTCTAAGGCTGATTTACGATATACTATCAAATGTTCATGGTTATTGCAGCTCTGGTATAATACAATGGCTCTTATTATTACCCTTGCTCATTAACTATGGGGGTATATTGTCATAAGTAAAGAGTTGACAAATCGAATCGAATCGCTGCAAACGTAAATACTCTCAACAACTCACTCACGCTCTTGCGCGTTCTTGTACATACAACTGTCTCAGCTAGGTACAAACCTCCATCACTTTACAGATTCCCTAAGATTGCTGGATTGCTGCTCCGCTTAGAAAGCAAGGACGGCAGCGACACCGACGGCGACGGCGCCGAGGCTGATGGCGTTGCGGTCAGCAGCACCGGTGAAGACGGGGGAGACGGAAGAGCTGCTGGCAGCAGGGGTGCCGGAGGGAGTGGCAGAGCCGCGGATGAGGCTGGCAGAGCCGGAGGCAGTGGGAGCAACGACGAAGCTGGAGGGCTTGTTGCCACCGACCACAGGGACGGAGGTGAAAGTGGGCTTAACGTCGGCAGTGGCGGTGGCAGTCTCAGGGCAGATAGTGCTGGTGATCTTGCTGATGATGACGCTGGTCTCGGAAGCATCAGAGCTCACAGCAGCGGCGGCAGTGGTGCTAGTAGCAGCGGCAACAGAGGAAGAAGAGGAGTAGGCAGGGTTGGAGATGCCGAACTGGACGGAGTACTGGTACTGGCCAGTGCCCTCGACAACGAGAAGGATGCCGTAGTGGGTGGTGTCAGGCTCGAGGGAGGTGCTGGGAGTCCAAGAGTAACTGCCAGAGTTGCTGATGTCTTCGACGATGGTCTGGATGGGGACAACGTTGGTGCTGGGGCCGCGGAGAAGGACCAGAGACACGCTACCCGAGGTAGTAGGGTCCCAGGTGATCTCGAAGGGCTTGCCAGCAGGAACAATCTGGTTCAATTCGGGAGTGAGGATGGCATTGCCGCTGGGGTCCTCAGAGTAGTCGGGCTGAGTGTAGGCAGAGGCCAGGGCCGCAAGGGCAGAGACGAGGGCAGTGGTGAAGAAACGCATTTTTTCGATTTCACTTTTGTGTCTTGTGTGTGATGTAAAGAATGATAGTAGGTAGGGGATATTGGAGAGTGTAATTCAAAGAGTGACTGGAAGTAAAACTTCGTGTATGTAGTGCAAAGGAGTGACTACCGTGGGAGAGGGCGAAAATGCGAGGGACGTCAAATCGTGAGAAGGGAAGGAGAGAAAGAGAAGGAGGAGGGGGGGGGAAAGGAACATTCAAGTATATGAATGATGGGGATGTGACAGGCGTAGGACAAGTCCCTTCACAGCCCCCCCTCTCAATTCCCCCCTATGGAGGGGATGACATTCACTACAACCTACCAGGCTCCAAGCCCAACATCGCCAAATCTGCGGCTCATTTCCCGGTGGGTCAAGGGAAATTATTCTTTCATTCAAATTGCTGATTGGGAACTTGCTCAGGAACAGCGTTCAAGACTACTGCTAGTTACCTACTATTGCATGGTTAGTCTAAGAGATGTCTGGTAAACTTTGAGAACGGTGGAATGTATGGGGCCTACCCTTCCTCGACTAAACCTTGCGAAATGAATAGGCGATGTCACCTCAAGCCAGTATGACTCTCTGACTGGCTTACACGGCGGTTTAGTCCGCTGTTAGTCCGCTTGGATCGCTCCCCTCCATCGTGGATATGCTCAAAGATACTCGGAGGCGTGGGCCACTCAGGGATTTAGATAAATTGAGACCGCAGATACGAGGGATGAGCGGGGGTTCATCTGCCAGGGCGCTAACAGCATAGTAATTTTAGGAGAGACATCGAATCAAGGCTCTGAGCGTGGGAGCCTAAGAGTAGTTGGGAGCCTGGGAGGAGGTATTTACTGAATGCTACCTGTGGGTAACAGTGTATATCCGCCTAAAACTAGGCTTGTTATTAGTACGGAGTAGAACAGACTAATGCCAACGGTACCATAATCCAGAGCGTAAAAGTAAGAGAACTAGCCACGATATCGGCAAAATGGTACCATTTGACTCAGAAGAGGGTCTCAGCTCTAAGCCGGCGAAGCCGTGGGACATGTGAAACAATCATAACCTTATGTCAGACCAAGTCAGGAACAACGGAGGAACCCCGAGAACGGAGAAGGGAGGATGTTGTTGTGATGGCTAGCAGCAGCAGTTCGGAGTGACGGAAGGGAAAAAGAGTAGAAAGAGAAGTTTGTCGGTGGAACTTGGCCCGCAAGGGATTCGTGCAAAACAAACAAACACCATCATTTACCCTCCTTTCCTCGTCTGCTCGTCCCTCTCCTTCCAGCTTTGTTTCACTTCCAGAAGCTCGAGCGTTTTTTTCCCCTTTCTCACACATCTCACATTTCTGGCAAATAATGTCCGGAGACTTTTCCATTTTCAATGACATAGCCCGCAGGGCAAATTAGCTGGGAAATTACCCTCATGTAAATTGTACGATGGATGGATCAGTGCCCCTCATAAAGTGGTGCTTGATTGGCTTCGCCTTCGCCTTCCGGAGCCTTGCCAGCTTCTTCCGGTCAGTTCTGGTCTGGCACAAATGAGACATAGACACGCCACGAGGCCGAAGCGTTAACCACGGAAGTGGACAAGGCACAGAGTTTAATTACCACTTCCGAATACTGGGACCAGAGGCACCCAATCCATCTCGTGTCCTCTCCTAAAGTCCAAAAGGCACCAAGGAACCTGTCCGGTGTCCCCACCCCCGTGTAATCGGATAGTCGCCTAAATTGCTACGGAGAAACACAAACCAGTCATGTTACTACTACTACCCACGTAGTCCCTCCCTTGTTTCCTCCCGCTGGCTGCAGATCAACAGATTATCAAGGGGGTTCGGAACGAGACATTCATTCTGCAAACTGACCGTTCTAACAATCAAGAGCGGCAAGAACGGTGATCAACGTCCTCATTGAAGTCATCCATGGCTATGTTGGGTGAAGATTCTCCGGTTCCTGTCGCTCATTCCTCGTTCCTGACTGGGTTAGTGGACCCTCGTTCCGACTGCCAATGCCACTAACAAGGCACGATAACTGATAACATGCCTTTCGTTTCGGTCTTCCGTACCAAGGGATTATGAAAATGACCCGTCATACTGCGAACCTTCAAGGGACAAGCACTCCCGCAAGTATGTACCTTGCAGATCAACCAAACAAAAACAACGGAATGGCTTTCATGAGCACGCCTGCCAGTGACCTTCGTGTTGGCAAGCTATCTCCGCTCGAGGCCAAATTCCGCTGCCCACACAGCATGTAGTCGTATCGCTTACCACGTGTGGGTGAGTGCAGGAATTTTCCCAGTGGCGTCGGAGACTAGTTCAAGTGTCTCGGACTCCGATACCTCACCTGCAGTCTGGCTGCTCATGATCCATCTGCTGTGGATATCACAGGTGGCGGAAGCTTTCTAGTTTAGTTCACGCGATCACCAAAGACTGCCGGTGAAATTGTGATCAATTGCATCCCGGATTGGACTTATCCGAAGATGTGCAGTGTTCTACACAATCCTCCGTGCACTTGCAGTCGTGCACAGTATACGATATCCGGCGCTTGACAAAGCCTCCCAGGATACGCGCTCTATTTACAGTAACAGTCGGTCGCCACCCATCAGCGAGCAGTGATAGACTACTGGTCCAGACTTGAGAAAGGCTTGGATGCAACCGGGAGTGGCTCTTCCTGGTATCGCTAAATAAATTAAAAAAACGAAAAGCCAAATAAGATTATGTGCTTCGTATTGCTGGGCCTTACTGAACCCTGCATTGAGTGGGTATTTCGATCAAGGGTCCAGTCCAGTCCCCTTCGCGCCAGCCATGGTCCCAATATCGAACTATTGGCATAGGTCTACTCCATGTGGCCTCTCATTCGTCCTCCTAGTGGATGACAACTTCCCAAAGGCCTCCAATAACAAACCCGACCAGGGATCGTTGAGCGCTACGAGTCGGTGCAGTCCGCGCTCTTTCCTTATTCTACCCAAGTAATCGTCTTGGTTTGCAGCCACTCGTCGTAACCGGAGGCTCCTCCGAAGCGACCGTATCCGCTGCTCTTCCAGCCGCCATGGGGAAGAACAGGTTCGTCGTGCACGGTCAGAGAGTTTATGTGTACAGCTCTATACATAGTCGAAAGGGGTCAGCAGATGGCACTTTCGGATCAGACGGAGAGTGATCTCGACCAACATAAACTTACCCTGCTTCAATCTGCTTGGCAACCCTGAGGCCACGGAACAGGTTACCCGTAAATACTGCCGAAGTAAGGCCGTACTCCGTGTCATTGGCCAGTGTCACAGCGTCCTCCTCGCTGTCAACGACTATGAGGGATACAGTCGGGCCAAATGACTCCGTGAAGTACATGTCCATGTTCTTGGCGACATCTCCAACGATCACAGGTCGCATGCTGCTGTTGTTCAAGTCAATGGCTGCGGTGTCGCCATAGACAACGTTGGCGCCTTTGGCAAGCGCATCCTCTACCAGCTCCTTGTTCTTTTTGACTGCAGCAGGGGCAACGAGGACCAATGCCGGCCCGTGCTTGCCAAATACTTTCTCCACCGCCTCCGCCATCATTTGCTTGAACCTGTCTGCAATAGACCGCTGTACTATAACGCGTTCCGTCGACATGCAGATTTGTCCGGACTATGTTCGAATCAGCAGGCAATTCCAGGCTAAACTGTCCAACGTTAAAGCTCTTACATGCATAAAGGATCCCAGTGCACAGCACATGGCGGCCTTTTCCAGGTTGGCATCGTCCAAGACGATGGCCGAGGCTTTGCCTCCCAGTTCGAGGAGTACCGGCTTCGTATATTTGCCGGCAGTGGCCGCAATGATTGAGCCCACTGTGGTGCTACCGGTGAAATTGATCTTGCGCACAGCCGGGTGAGCGATGAGGGCGTTCGTGACCGCCGCTGCGTCCGAGGGACGGTGGTAAAGGACATTGAGACATCCCGCAGGAAGACCAGCTTCGCGATAGATGTCTCCGATTGCCCAAAAACACTTGGGGGACAGCTCTGATCCCTTCAAAATCGTTGTGTTACCTGCGGCGAGGGGTAGAGCGACTGCACGGGTTCCAAGGATGTAGGGAGCATTCCTACCGAGGTGATAATGTTAGCGACCATGAGACTGACGCGGAGCTAATGCCTTGTGGAAATAGAGATAGGTAATATACCAAGGCGCGATTCCCAGTACTACGCCATATGGCTGCTTGATAACCATTGCGCACTCTCCATCTTCCGAAACGGACGGCACTGTACCCTCGATCGACGGGATTCGCGCCGCGAAGTCCTTCAAGAACCCGACCCCCAGCATGAATGTTTTCTCCACAAACATACGTCCCGCACCTGTCTCCTCCATCTGATACCGAATCAATTCTTCTTTCCGGGAGAGCATAATATCCGCGGCCCTAATGAGGATATCCCTGCGGTCGTACGGCTTGGTCTTGCTCCATCCGGGGAAGGCGGCCTTCGCGGCCGCGACAGCACGGTTGGCATCATCGACTGTTGCTCCGGCGCAACGGTCAATCACCTCACCCGTCGCGGGGCTCGTGACGTCGAATATCGTCTCGGTCACAGAAGACTCGTTGTTAATCAGAAGCGGGATAACCGCGGTATTTCCGTTGGGGTTTTTGGCAATCATGGCTTCTTCGAAGGTTAATTGGATCTAGAAGGGTTTGGTCTATATGGCATTAGATTTAGAAAGGACAAGAGAGAGAGAGAGAAAGAAAAGAGAGTGAGATGAACAGATAGATAGAGAAGTGGAGAGACAAAGATGAGCAAGAGGGTATGGGGTTAAGTTAAACCAACCAACAAGCCAGGGCAAAGAAAGAATTGAGGGGAAAGGGTCAAACAGACGGGGTCAAAGACTAACAAATGGCGCGATAATGGAACAGCGCGAGACCCCAATTAATCTAGTTAGTCGCAGACACTGGTCTTGCTTGCATCTGCAGCCACAGAAGTGAGGGGGCAATTTTCGGGACTTTTCCCGACATGATGGAGCCGAAAGATTGTCAATGATATTGCCCTTCCGGCGCATGGTTTGGAGGGCCCTCATCTGTGACTGCATACTAATTGGCAGGCAGATGTGCGCGTCGGTTGGAAAATGTCATCATGACTCGGGTGTTGAGTGGGGGAGACTTCCCGATGGCACACATTGAGTGGATAGTACTACCCCCTGGATCATTCTCCCACGGT